CGCGCTGATGGAGGAGCTGCTTGCTCAAGCTGAGCGGCTGGTCAACCCCCGCGCAGCGCCTTCACAGCAGGGTCCAGACACACTTGGCCACACGGCTGGGCACCACAGCCTAGCCCAGTCCACACGTGTCATCAATGCCGCAGATGCCAGCATAGATGTGTTCACAGTCACCACTCCAACACTTTCCTGCGCAGAAAAGAGCCAAATCCCCAGAGGGGCAAAGGCACACAGCAAGGAGGAGGGCAGCTGCACGTCTGTGTGTGCGCCGAGCGCTGCCATTTCACTTCCTCCTAAGCAAAGCGAGAGCCGCCCGGCGCCTTGTCCCCTCCGTCACAGGTCCTCGCCGCTGTCCTCTCCCCGTCCTCCCAGATACAGGGCCCCAGGTAGCCACCCTCCCCCGGAGGTCGCAGTGCTGTCTCCTCAGCTGAAGGGTCTTCTGACCCCTCCCCACACCCGTAGGTCACCGGCCAATGACACTTCCTTCCCTGGCTATTCCTTTATTTATTTATTTATTTTTATTCATTTATTTTGGCACTCGGAATCGAACCCAGGACCTTGCGCTCGCCAGGCAGGCACTTGTGCCACTGAGCTCTGTCCCCGGCTCCTGGCTACTTCTGACTTTCCTCTTTGGAACCAACATGTGCAAAATCTCGTATGCTGGCCTGTGGTATGCATCAGGGGCAACGCAGAGGAGCACCGGCGTGTCCCACGTTTTTAACAACACGGCGAAGCTGCGAATGAAGTCTTACTCTAGAACCCAAACTACAGCACCCGCCGCACCAGTCTGGGTCTCCTTTCTGTTCTGGTGCTTCAGTCTGTGCTACCTTCTAACGTGTAACTCGCACTTTACAGTTCCCTGCTTTTAATAAAATTTAGGCTTTGATTAAGTAATAAGAAAAGTAATACATATATGCTTACCATAACTAATTTGAATAGGTTATTATAGCTTATGTTTTATAAGATACTGTTGAAACATATAACATTAACATTTAAAGTATTAAATTATGTTGTTGTCAAATGCCATCATTTTTTAATGGCAAACTTGCCTCCATCTTCTTGCGTTGTATAATTATGTATAAACAGATGGCCTGAGTTCAAATTAAATATTTAAACTCTTTGCTGCTCAGTGACCTATGAAGTCATGGCTGTTATTACTTATGAAACAGTAATATCAACTCTAAAATCAGAAATTCTACTTCTTAAATAAAATCCATGTTAACATGTAACATAACACAGAAGAGTTTACAAATCCTAAGTATTGAATCCCATGCATCTTGGCATTCATTCTAATATTTAATTTTAAATGACATCTGAGTTGTGAATTATTCTAATATATTGTTCTAAAATACCAGTAAAATGAGACTACATTTTGCTTGCTCAAAATGTAGAGTGATGTTTTTAACAAATTGCTTTTATTATTAGTTACCTACCTGTGTGTCTCAAATTTAGTGGTCAGGAGTTAGGTGCAAAATAGGAGCTGGTCCCCTTCAGGGTGGGGAATGTTACTTACGATTCAGGGGCCGGCATGGCCAGCTCATAACTTGCCCAGGACTTTGTTGATCAATAGATTGTTTTTGACAGAGTGCTGCTACGTAGCTTGTGCTGGTTTCAAACTTACTATGTAGCCCTGGCCTTGAACTCACAGTGATCCGATCCGACCACCTCAGCCTCTGAGTGGGTACTGGGATTATAGTTGTGCCACCACGCCATGCTTGGCTTTGCTGACTTTAGACAAGAAGTCTCATGACCGAGCCAGCCCCTCAGTGCCAATGGGGTGTGGCCCCCAGTGGAGACAGCTTGGGCCAGGACCAGCCCCTCAGCCTCCCCTTGAGCCTTGTCCCGGCTCGTGTCCTTGACATGGGCCCAGGAGCCCAGACTGACCCGGTGCCTCCAAAGCTCCCACCTGCAGTGTAGGTGTGGATGTCCCACACTGTGCTGGAAGCTTATCCTGGCCCCCACGTCTCTCTAGCGTGGTGATGCTTCTCCCCGGGGGGTGCTCAGCTCTCCCTGTGTGCCTCAGATGGGAAACTGTGTTTTCTCCGCCTCAATGCCCTGGGTGCCATCGGTGGAACCGGTACCTCTTTCTCATTTGTTCCTCTGAGCAGACCTGGGTCACAGTGGGGGCCCAGTAGGAGCCCCACGGCCTGGAGAAATCTCTGAGTGCACTAACTGGGAATACACAGCACTAAATGTTTCCACAGTGCATTTAAATAAAGAGAAGATAATCCCAGCATTCTGGGAGGCTGAGGCAGGAGGATGGCAAGTTCAAGCCCAGGCTGGGCAACTTAGGGAGACCCTGTCTCAAAATAAAAAGGCTGGGGGTATAGTTCAGTGAGGAGGCCTTGGGTTTAATGGGGGGACATTAACGAGATCACACAGGAATGTGAGGGCAGGCCAGGCGGAAGGGGAGGGGGGCCAGAGGGGGTGAGGCAGGCACGAAAGGATGCCCGGGTCAGGCTTAAATTAAAAGGAAGAGCTGCTGGAGGCCCCGCCCTGGAGAGGTGGAGGAAGTGACCTTGAAGTCACAGGTCCCACCAGGGAGAGCACGTGCTCCAGAGACAAAGGGGTGGGCGGTGGGCAGGCCCGGACAGAGGAGAGCAGGAGGGGGCAGCTCACGGGGCCCTGTGCGCCACCTGCCACAGGCTGGCTGCACCAGCCCCGCCCCGGCCTCCGGGACACACGCAGCCTGGGCATTAGATGCGGCCCCGAGCCCCTCCTGCCAGCAAATGAGAGGACACGCGCGGCTCCTGCCCGGGACCTGGATGCAGGGTTACCTCACTGGGGCTGTTTCCCACGAGCCTCACTCGGGCATTTTCCTCCGGCCCTTGGAGACCGCAGCGCGCAAGCCAGGGAGCAAAGGGGAGCAGGTCATGCCTGCGCTGTTCCCCTGCTGAGGAGTCGTCTCCCGTGTGCTCAGGCTTCCTCTGGCCATGATGCACTCCTCACCGCAGTGAGTGTTGTTCCAGCTTGATGACTCTAACTCACTTGGATTTCTTCTTGAAATTTGTGTTGAGTTCTGCCCTGCAGCTGTGGATGGGGTGTCCCCCAGGGTTTCCAAGCCCACTGTCAGGGGCCAGAGTCACACAGAAACCCAAGCAAAGAGGACGAGGCTGAAACAGCACGGCTCCTGTCATGATGGGGAAGGTCTGAGGTGGGGCTCACCAGGGCTGACTACGCTGGGTTAAGGAGAGAGAGAGATGTCCAAGTGTTTCTTGTTCTTGTTTTTGTTTTATTGGTGATTGAACCTGGGGCCTTCACTTGGAGCTACACGCCCAGCACTCCTGCATTTTTTGAGACAGGACCAGGTTGCCAAGTCCCCAAGTGGCCAGGGACTCAGACTTGTGTCCTCCTGCCTCCCTGAGACACAGGGTGAGCTACGCGCCTGCTGGGGACCTCTGCTCTCACAAGCAGGACGGAGAACTCTGCAGTGTCCTGAGCCCAGGCAGGGGCAGCAAGGACGCAGAGTGGGCAGAGCAGAAAGGCGACACCTCTGCCGGCCGCCAGCCGTGTCTTTGTCAGTCGGTGCCACGAGCGCGTCTCCACAGCGTCCACGCTACTGACAGGCTCGGTTGGTTTGGCGCGGGGCAGCTTTCCGTGGCAAGCAGCGAGGTTACTGTGCTGTTCTCACCCTACATGCGCTCGTTCAGCCGGGCCGGGCCTGGAAGGTCAGCAGGGAGCCCCGCTCGAAAAGCACAGCCTCTTCGCACCCCTTGCCTCTAATTGCTCATAAAACTCATTAGGAGTTGACACTCGACGACCCCACTGTCCTTCTTGTGAGAGGGAGGACGCCGTGGGCCCGGAGGAGAAAGGCGGATTGGTTCCCCAAGGAATTTAGAACTGTTTTCAGCGCTACAGCCTCCTGGGGCACTGAAGTCGTGGGAGGGGAAGCCGAGGCCCAGAGCGTCGGCGCGTCCCCAGCGTCACGAGGAGCAGTGGGCTGATGCCGGCTTCTGCCCGACACCCCCAGCCGCCGGACGCCTCCCAGCATGCTGCGCCTCAGTGGCTCAGGGAAGACGGAAGATCCGTCGGAGGTGGAGGACGGCACACCTGGTCAGGCGCTCAAGCTCGCGGCCGTCTGTGTGGAGCGGACCCTGGTGGCTGAGGACCTGGTTCAAGCCAGAGGCCGACTGCGGGCTGCATCTCATGAGCCCTGAACTAAATCCTGCCTCGTACTCAGGCAGGCGTGCTGCGCTGGGAACGGGGACTGGCCGAGAAGCCCGAGAGCGGCGGGCACGGGCTGGCGTGTGTGTGCGACACCGCCTGGGACAGACCATGCCGGGCTGCAGGCCCTGTGGGGCTCTGGACCCCGCTGCAAGTGACGCTGTCCTGGGCAGGAGCGTCGGAAGAGGCCCTGCTCCTGCTTGGCGGAGGAAGCCAGGGAGACCTGGGCTACTCACAGCTTTGAGCCTTGTCCAAAAAGAGCCACGCCAAAGCAGACACCGCGCTGACATCTGCCCTTGGGTTCCTCTACTCAACCCAAATGCGCTCTAGCATTTTCACCCGCTTCAACTTTTCACCAGCAGCTGCTCATAAATCAGGAGAGCTCCGCGACGTGTCCAGGGCTCTGGTTTTCTGGTGGAAAGGGGTGGTCTGTCTTAACTCACAGTGAAAACAGATTTCCTGAGGGTTTCATTCAACCTAACAGCAAAAGTGCTTCCAAGGTGCCGAGAGATTTACAATACCGTTCTCACCCTCCAACAGCCCCCGAGGTTGGTGCTGTTACTGTCTTCCTTTTACAGCTGGGGCCTTGGAGTTGAGCGAGGCGGGTGTCACGCCTCAGGTGGAATAGCCGGGAGACAGCCCCGCAGGATTCGAGCCTGCTCCCGTGACGAGGCCTCCATCAGGCCGCAGGCCTCCGCTGGCACTGGCAGCGGCACACCACGCCTTGTGACATGCTTGCTGCTGGGCCCGGAGAGGCTGCCAAGGCGACTTGGCCAGTGCTCCTGCCTTCGGTGCCCATGTTCTGTGCCCAGCCTTGTGCCCACCCCTCCTGCACTCACCATGCTTGTCCTCTGGACTCTAAATCCGTCCAAACCAGCGCCTCTGGCAGGCCAGCCGCACAGGAAGGGGGCGTCTGTCACCACACGGGGCCAGCAGGACGCGAGCCCAGGGCCGAGCAGTGAGCGTGTGGAGCCAGGCCTGGCCTTCATCTGCCCCGAGCACCAAGCCCGCTGCGGCCACCGTCCCCTCCCCGGCAGCTCAGCCCAGCAGTGATTTACCGGCTGTGCCTGCCGGTCTCCCTTCCTGTCCTCAGGGCTCAGGGGCGGAACCCACTGGCCAGGCAGATTCAATGTACAGATTTGGAGCAGACTCCTTTCTGAACGGAGAAGAAACATTCTGCTGCTTGGGTTCCCTCCAGAACATCGCCCGAGGCAGTGGAAAAAGATCCACCCCTTCCATTCCCTCTGGCAGACTTGGAAGAGCCAGAAACTTAATCCTACAGCCCTGACCACGTTTGCAAAATGGTGGCGCTTGACTCCACAAAGCGACCACAAAGGCCGGAGGAGGGTAGTGGTTTGCCAGCCCCGGCTGAGTGCGTGTTTTATGACAGGAAGGGGCACTCGAGGTGCACTCAGGGGTGAGAACAAGACAGCGGTGAGGTGACGCGCACACACTTACATGGCTAAGGGCCACAGAGCTTGAACCAAGATCTGGGGGACCTCAGAGTTCACTGTCTGCACCGCACCGCACGCTGCTGCCACAGACCTGAGTTCGCTGAGCGACCGGCCAAGGATGCTTTTCCAAAGTACCGCACAAGATGTCTCCAGGCTTTCAAAACACCACGAGCATACAAAGAAAATACTCCAGTAAGGTGCGCCAGGCATCTGTGCAGAGGTTTAGGTGGTAAATACCATGAGGGTGAACTGTATTTTTGAAATATTGTCTTGGAAAAGCTCTCCCGACCTAGCTTAACAGAAAGAAACCGCATCGAGTAGGGTTGAAGATGGACACCATTCACACCACTCCATTTGATGTTTCAGAAATTCTCTTTCTGACGAAAGCTGACAAGCGGCACAGTCAAACGGGGAGACAGAGTTAAGCATTGACTTGGGGCAAAAGTCCACAGGTGAGCTCCCTGCTGCCCGCACACCAGCACGCATTAGCACAGGCACCCGAGGATGCGCCCCGTCCCCACGCCAGCCGTGCGCAGACTTCCACACGTCAGTAGTGAAGGCTTTTTGCACTGCCAGGTCTTCTGGTACTGAGGCCTGGGAAAGTGAGCTAAGTCACCCGGCTGATTAGAACCGGGACTCCAGAGGAGAGCTGTCCCCAGCGCGCCCACACTTTGCAGTGGTCGGACGGGTTTGTCTTGCTTGGACGGAGCTGCAGTAGATGGTGAGACTGTTTCATTTGCAAAACAGTCCTGTGCTCCTTGTGCACTTAGATTCGAAACCATATTTGAAACAAGACACAAACTCTTACAGCTGCACTCTGACCTTTGGCCTCCAAGTGGTACGGTCTGAGGCCAGATGAGTGACCACTGATGCTGCCACTTTCGGGGGGTGAGGATGGGTTTTCTAGCAGCCTCGTGGTGTAGCAGGGAGAGAATGGAGTGACCATCGGGCTGAGCTGCGTCCCTGGCCTACCTCTTCTAGGAGCGGCCAAATGAAAGGGCAGCTCGTCCCCTCTCGGCCTCAGCTTTCCGATCAACGATGTGGAAAATGACATCTCATGGCCACGGGCAGCAGGTAGCGTATTCCCTTCTGGGGTTCATGCCTGCCCAAAACCTGAGGTCGGAGGGACCTTGTTGGAAAGAGGGGCTTTGCAGGTTAACCAGAAAATCAGAATTTGGTTAACTAGCAAGAGGAGGGCTGCCGGGTGCAGAGGAGGGCTGCCAGGTGCAGGCAGGTGCTGAACTCAACAGCTTCAGAGGAGAGAAGATGCAGAGGTGTGGAGACACGCACACATGGGGTCTGAACTCACTTGCCCGCTGTAAGCCAAGGAACAGCAGTGACCACCGGAAGCTGGGAGCAGGGCTAAGCCCTCCCTGTGCTCTACAGAGGAACCGTGGTCTTGCCAAGGCCTTGATTTTGGACTCTCCAGAACCATAAATAAAATACTGCTGCTTAAACCACCACATCTGTGGTAATTTGTTCCAGCAGTCCAAGAAAACAAATGCACCATGCAGAGAGCCAGGAGGGTGCTCATCAGGTAGAAAACATGCCGACGGCCACACAGTTATCATTCGCATCTCACACTCCTCAGCCGGCAGTCAGGGTGCTGTCTTGATCCCAAGAGGGGAGGATAACTGTCTTGATCCCAGAGTCAGAAAGACGAAGCGAGAATTGCTGATTTAGTTAATAGAGATCTGTGTGTTTTTCTGTATTTTCCCACTTAACCCTCTACTCCTACTCCTAAAAACAAAATCTTTTAGTTTTATTAAAACTAAATTTAACTATACAACCTGATACTAACTTTTCTAAAAATCCATAGCAATAAAAGATTCTAAAGAAATAAGCACCTAAATTCAGTTTAGACAATAAATAGCATACGCTAATTCTGTATTCGTTTCCAGATTTCCTTATCAGATGCCTCACTGGCACTAAGAGAAGAGGAGTGGACCGTGGGGGACTGGAAGAGCAGTCCTGGCCCTGTCCTTGGCATTGGGCAATAGGATGGGCAAATAGCCTCATCTAAGCTACAGAAACAAAGACTGAGATGAGACTTTTCACTCCAGACAGAAGCAGCTGGTAGCCACTGTACCAGGTGCCCCTAGGGCCCCATGGAACATGCCTGGCCACCTCCTCACCACTGTGACAGAGGGCGGCTCTGGGCACGCTCTGATGTCCTGAGTGGGCAGTGTCTCACACAGCTGGATGCTTCAGTGACCTGACCAGGACTTCTCCAAGGGCAGGGTCTCCTGAGCTCAGCCACATGGTCAACCTCCAACCCATGAGAAGCTGGAGGACAAATGCCCCACTCCGTCTCTGCATGGACAGTTTGGGGAGATGCATTTGGGCAGATGCACTCAGAGGTCCCAGCGGGGCTGTGCTACTTGTACCCCTACTGGCTCCCCCTCCACCCTTTCCTTCCCACGCTGTCTCTTCTGCTTCCTGAGGTCACACCCCAAACAAAGGAGACACTCTTCACTCCTTTTCTCAGACTGCTTTCAGAACAGCTCTAGCAGAGACAGAAATATGAAGCAATTTGGGGTGAGATGAGAGGAAAGTGGATCTGTCCTGATGTCAGATGAAGAAACAAAGCATCAAGTGTTCTAATGTCAGACGAGAGCAGAGTTAGATATGTCCCAGGAATCCTGCAAATTGAAAATACTGGCTTCCAGCTCCATATCCACCAACAAAGAAGACACAGTCCGTTCTGAGGTTGTTCAGCTCCCTTGCGCACTTCAAGGGTGCCTATAACTGTTGCTCTTCAGGGCATAGACTGGCTCTTCTGTTTAGGCAGTGAATGCAGCCCTGTCACTCTACTCACGGCCAATCTCTTCCAGACTAAGGGAACCATGGTCTGAGAAGTTCAGGGAACATGTGGATTAAGAAGTGGATTATTTCTTAGCGGTAGAAAGTCGTACATGGCATGTGGAATGCCCAAACTAAGAAGCCAGCTATCATGTAAGAATTCCCACTCTTCCAAGACCACTGTACCATGACGAAGCCTGGGCTGGTCACACGGAGAGATGACCAGCACACTCTACCACTCTGCTCATCCTAGTGGAGTCTCTGAGCACAGGAGGGAATAAGCCATCTTGGACACGAGGGAGGCTCCGCAGAATCTTCAGTTCCCTCCCACTAGTGCAGACATTTGAGAATGGCTGGTTTCCATTTTCAGGGATCTGGTCTGAGAGAAGCACCCAGTGGGAACACCAATGCTTTCCATTCTAAATAAGGAAACTGGTTTCCATTGGTATCCTAAAAACAACTGGGAATATTAGAAATGGAATGCCAACACGGGGAATTTATTCCACATGGGAGTCAACTCCAAGATGGCACCCGCCTGAGTCACCTCCCGGCATTCTCACACTTGTGATTCCTATTCCACACCAATCAGGGCTGGCTTGGGTGACAGCGGATTCTTGGAATTCTGACTGTCACAGCCAATGCCTTTGGAGTGAGTCCTCACTCGGGAAAGCCAGCCCACCATGTCTCCAGGATTCCTGAGCAAGTCTTGTAGGGCACTTCATACGAGGGCTGCCACATTTAGAAAATGAAAATAAAATCTCTGACATACTTATACTACACATTTTTCTTTGTTGTCTGAAATTCAAGTTTAGCTGAGTGTCCGGTGTTTTTCTGGCAACCATACCTCAAGGACGTGAACCGAGAGCTCCAGGAACAGCCAGCCGCTCCCTGACGTGTGGGAGCCGCAGTGGAACGGACCTGCCAGCCTCAGGCCTTCGGGAGATCCCAGCTGTGCTGGTACCAACTGCAGCCTCTCAAATGCCCATGGCCAGGGCCGCTCAGCCGCCCCACCCTGCACCCCTGGAGGAAGTGGTGCGGGGTCACGGCAGGTGCTCCTGAAGCCAGGAAGGATCAGGAACGGTTTCAGGCTGACTCAGCCCGCAGCACCAGTGACCAGCGGTTTTGCCAGGGCCTTGCTCTGCTGCCCTTCCTCAGTTCGGGTGCAGGGTCCAGACCTCGGAGGTGGAGGGGACCAACGCTGTCAGGGCTTGTTTGCTCCGTAAGTCGAGAGGGGTGCCCTGGCCTGCGGGAAAGAGCGACTCCCTCCGGGAGTTACAAGTTTCGCTGCCCCGGACACCATGCACAGGAAGGCAGGCCCCGGCAAGGAGCCGAGTGCACAGCATGCGGGCGTGCAGGGTGGGCGAGGCTGCTCAAGGAGGGATCTGCTCGGCGGCTGCGGTCAGGGACCAACGAAAGGCAGCGATGCTCCGGGCGTGGGCAGTGGTCGCCGGCGGGGCGCGGGCTGCGTGGGAAGACGGGCTCATCGTCGGTGCTGCTCGTGTGTGTTGAGTGTGTGTTGAGTGAGTGATGGATGGACGTGTGTGGGCTGAGTCCAGCAGGCCTGCTCGTGTGCTGCTTTGAGCAACTGTGCCTGGTTATTCCCTGAAATGGGGAGCAGCCGTGGACTTTGCATGGTGCGTATGGACTGCAGTCCAGGAAACCCGGATGACGGGTCCTGGGGGTGGAAACCATCTTCCACCTAGAGGTGCATTTGTGAAGTCGGCAGTCACCCTTGGTGTCTCCCACAGGGACACGTCTGGGGCAGCACAGGGGAGCAGCAGGCGGCCTCCTGGGGGTGACCCATCCCTCGCAGCCCAGGGAGGGAGCTTGGGCGGGGAGGGGTGAGGCTGGGACCCCAGGGTTTGGAGCTTCATCAGTGCTGGGAATTGCTTCCTTCCTGCTGGAGAGCTTGATTATGAGAAATAAAATTTTGAAATGTGTGTGCTCAAG